CCTCTCTCTCTCTCTCTCTCTCTCTCTCTCTCTCTCGCTCTGTCTCTATTTATCTGTCTATTTGTCTGTCTCTCTTCATCTATTTTTCGCTCTCTTTCTTTCCCTTTCTCTCGTTCTCTTTCCCTCTGCGTGTATTATGTAAGCTTGTGTCTATTCTTTGTTAGGTGTAACGATGCCTTCATTCTTTTTTCTTCCCCGTTCTTCACTGAATATTGTCGAGGCAGCACAAACCAACCTTGGCGATTGTTAATTTCTGCCACAAAGATTGAGTTACCAACATTTGCATTCCAAGCAATCAAACTAACTGGAAGGTTGGAATGGGGATGTTTTTCGTTATGGTCATTCGTAAGATATGTGAGTGGGATTTTGGAGGGGAGTGGGGGAGGAGGTGAAGATTAAGATGGGGGGTGGGGGGTGTTGAATTGCTAAGTATTTGGGCGGGGTTTGTTTTGTTTTTGTTTTTATTAATTCGAGTTTTTAGCTTTTACAGTTTAGCCTTTGAACAAGCGAAACTCGCGGTGTTGGAAAAGAAGAAAAACCCACATACTTTTGCGTGTATAGTTTTGAACAGAAGGGTCCTATTCTACTGGTGCGTCCTTAATAAGTCATTGTTCTCAAGGTTGTGGGGGTTTTTTCTTTCCTTGGTGCTTTGGTTTTGTTGACCTTTTATTGTTTTATACAGAAGCACAGAAAATAAATCAAATGAGAATAAACTGAAAGAAGCCCACGTGGTCCATTCATTAATTTAAAAAAAATTATTTTAAAAACTAAAAAGAAGCGACAGATGCAATTTTATAAGACATTTTACGCAACAGGAAGGCTTTTGAACGCCTTGCCCTCACTTGAGAAATAAAGGGCAAAAAATAACAAAGTATTGGTAAACCCCGCGAAGATACTTTGAAAAATCAGAACAGACGGATGACGGAGAAACAACAGGATTAGAGTATGTTATGGAATCGTTGATGGCATCAGATTGGAGGAAAATAGAGAACTTTGTTTCAGATCTGGCACGGTGGCACTTCTTGATTCGATGGGGCGTTGGAGAGCGGGCACAGTTCTGTTTTTGTGGGGGGGGGGTTGGTTTTCATTTAAGTTTTTTTACGCGGAGAGGGGGGACTATTATAATGGGGCTTTGTTTCTGCTTCTTTATGTTACAGGTTTAATTTTTTTCTGAGGATTTTCCGCAAACGTTACACAAACGTTGTGATTTTGTTGCCCACTCTACTAATTATCCTAACGATTTTTCTTTAAATACGCAGACTGACAAGAAATAATTGTGCTGAACAAAAAGAAAGAAAATGACGGAAAGAGACAAGTTTATGAGGAAGTTTTTAAAGAATCGAGAAAATGAAGGGACAACTCTGCTTTACGATGTTTGTACAGCAAACATTGAGTCAGTGGAGGCCATCGACAGCATCACTAGCAGTTAAGTCTGGGTACCTCTACTGATGCAGGATCGGAAATCTTACAAGGCCTGCTAGTGTGTGGAAAACGTGAAAGTTCGATTGACTGGCCAGGTGAAACTAAGCCACAGTAACCTTGAACTCTCTCTCTCTCTCTCTCTCTCTCTCTC